ATGTGTACAGTTACCATGGTTACAAGTGTTGTTCTCGTCTTCTAGTGCAGAGCAGCATGATCATTCAGAAGCTTGCTTCACTCACGTGTTGTGGGCAATAGTCTGCCATTTGGTTTTTACCCGATACTGACTTTCTTCTATAAAGTGGCTGATATACTGTATAGGGAAGAGCTACTATGATTTGAATACATAATTAATGAAGGATAAAAGCTGCGGTAGGTAACTTAAAAATAGGGACTTGGCTTGGGAACCAGAGGGCTGCTGGTTCAAGCCCCACAGACCACAGTATGGAGTGTGGACTGGTAGCTGGAGAGTTGCCAGTATTACCCCTGTGCACTGCCAGGGTGCCATTGAGCAAGGCACATAACCCCTAACTGCTCCCCAAGCGCCTAGGCTGCTCACTGCTCCTAATTTATATAGTAATGTATATATGATGGGTCGAATGCAGAGGTCAAGTTTCATTTCATGTATGTAAAAAGCTGTAAAATGCTGTATATACTGTAAAATGACAATAAAAAGACTTTATCTTTATCTTTATATCTTGACAGTAGTACATGTGACAGATAATCTGTGAAAAATTTTGGTTCCTCTGGCTCCTCCATGTGCCCCTCATTTTTGCAAGAATCCACTGGGTTGTGGTCTCATTTCCAGCATTGGTATATTACAACCTGGGAATGAGGTTTAACAATCAACAGTCTTTCTCGGCTCTGATTGGTTGTTTTCGTTCAGGCCAGGATCAGCCACAGATTATCTGTCTCATGTACTACTGTCAGGATATAGTGAAAGTTGCAACAAATATGACAAAAAGTTGCCTACTGCAGCTTTTAGCATTTTTCTTTTGCTATTTTCCTGTTAATAACTTCATCATATAGACACAAGACAGTTTTAATGGTAAATGACAGCTGTTAATTAGCTGCAGTACATTTACAAAAGAATTAGACACCTCTCTCGTAATTAAAGGTTACTATCTCGTAGTTACAAGAAAAGATCTAGTAACTACAATAACAGTTAGTTATGAAAAACTGGATAGGTGCCAGCAGTAGGACTAGGCTACTTATTGAAAAAATGTTTTTTATCCCACATCAAAGTTAAGGGGAAAAGGTTGTTTTGATTAATTGTAATGGACTTCATCAGTTGGCTTTCCTTTCATTCTTTAATGGACACACATTGTTTCCTTCTAAACCACAAATGTGACCTCATGGTGGTGCTAGTCAGAAAGCCAAAGTTAACAGGACCAAGATTACTCCTCACTGTTGTGGCCAGTGTGATCAAAGCAGCAAACAACAAAAAACTCCAACATTACATTTACTGAAGTAAAGGCTTGAGCATAGAGAGAAAATAACTTTCCTTTAATGTCCTGTACAATCTGTCCTTTTTAAGCTTTTATCTAAAACTCCACTCAGAATCATATCTTGATTTTTATTATGCTGCCTAATCTGTGACATACAGTGCAGGTATAGTCTTCTTGTAACAGAATGAGCAAAGCTTCCTGTATGTCCCCACGGTGATGAGAGACGTGCTGCAAGGCAATTCAATTCAAAGGGCCTACTGATTGGTAGCGAAACCTTATTTTCCAAATATCGATCCTGTGGGCAACCCGCAAAATGCAAAAACCTCGGCAAGACAGATCTGCTGTCACGTCTTACAGTAGAAATCAGGCAATCAATGTCACATACCTCCATCGGGGCCTGTATGAGCCTAATTCCACTCATCGGTGCTAAATAGTGAAAACCCTTGGGTTCATCAATCATCAATTCAAGGAGCACTCTTTAGTTAATAGTCCGGTCTTTACCCACTGAACGGCCACTGCATTTATCTGTGTGAGCCAGCGGATACTCCCTCTATTTGACAGAGGGAGGAGATGGGAACAATATGTTTCTCTATTCTCTTTCTCGCTCAGCTTGCTGCACTATAATTTCCAATTTGGGGCTTTCTGCTATCATGATTTGAAATTGAAGCTTGCAGCAAAGATTGATTATCTCTAACCCCAACAGAGTACATTTGATTGGTCAATTTCTTAGAAAACGCCATGCTTGACTGTGAAAGTCAATATTTCCTAAATGATATAGATAAGTAATATCTCATGACGCATCATTTTAACAAATACAGAAGCATGTTCTTGTATTGGCGGAGCCAACTCAAGCCTTTCTAGGGCTTTTAACTAAGATAAAAGAGATACTGTAAAGAGACATAATTTATTATAGAGTAGTATATAGAATTTTCTTTGAAAGAATTTCACATTTGGTGTCCTTAAAGGGAGAATAGAACTTCTACATTTAAGCCTAAGTGAATAATTATTCACTATTCTATGTAATCTAAAATAACTATCTTGGTGCCTTGATGCATATGGTGATGCTGGTGAGGTACTTCTAAACAAATTTATCTCTGTGTAAACACAGCTAGCTGAATGCTAAAAAAACACAGCAATGAAAATGTCCTTGTTAAAAGGGTTATGTTGGGTTAGGGTCCTACTAAATTAGGGTACTGGCACCATTATTGGTCCAATTCAGGCACTAAACATTACAGACCCATAACATAAGGATACCAAATAAAACTGCCAACTAGCAAACATGGATGTTAACATTGCAGGTTTTTGCATTGTATATAAAAGATTCTTTGGGGAATTTACAAGAAAACTCCACAAAGAAGCTGTCCATAAACTAATAATAATGTTAAAGGTTTAAGTTCCTGCAGACTAACAGGTCCAACAGACTGTTTCTTCAGTTCAACACATGACACACCACCTGACAGATATCTTTTCTCTCTTCCTCAGGTTACAAGTGCCCACGCCTCAAAGTCGGACATTGTCAAGTCGGGAAGCCCCAAATCCACACTAAAGCATATATGGACAGAAAGCAGTAAGGATATGTCCATCAGTAGGCTGCTGTCACAGACTCTACATGGCAAAGAGAACAGCACAGCCTTGGACCTTCGCTATGACACTCCAGAGCCCTACTCTGAGCAGGACCTGTGGGACTGGCTGAGGAACTCCACAGACTTGCAGGACTCGCGGCCGCGGGCTAAACGGCGGCCAATGGTCAAGACGGGAAAGTTCAAGAAGATGTTTGGCTGGGGGGACTTCCACTCTAACATTAAGACGGTCAAACTCAACCTGCTGATTACCGGTAAGATTGTGGATCACGGCAATGGCACCTTTAGTGTCTACTTCCGCCACAACTCCACAGGCCAGGGCAATGTGTCTGTCAGCTTGGTCCCTCCAACCAAGATAGTGGAGTTCGATGTGGCGGCACAGCAGTCCGTCATCGACGCCAAGGACTCAAAGTCCTTCAACTGCCGCATAGAGTATGAGAAGGTGGAAAAGGGGGCCAAGAACACGCTCTGCAACTTCGACCCATCCAAGACCTGCTACCAGGAGCAGACCCAGAGCCACGTCTCCTGGCTCTGCTCCAAACCTTTCAAAGTCATCTGCATCTTCATTTCCTTCTACAGCACCGACTACAAACTGGTGCAGAAAGTGTGCCCGGACTACAACTACCACAGTGACACTCCCTACTTTCCCTCTGGCTGACGCTCCCATACGCTCACATACAGAGAAGTAGACGAGTGGAGCACAGACTGGGGCTTCTACCCATGCCAGAGAAGTGTGTATGTTAGCCGTACTGTCCCTAAACATGTCCATACCAGAGTCTCAGCCATCCCAACTTATTTCCCAATTTAATGTTCTGAATTTTGCAGAGCAGTTATTTTAACTTTTAAAAAGGTGGTAAATAGGACTGTAATATGCTTAAAAATTACCTGAAAAACTATGATTGTTATCAGTTAGAATTATGTTCCTGAATTATGTTTTGTCCCTGTGTAGATAGCAGGGGCTTATTAGTCCTTTTGGGATTGTTGTTGCTATTAAACTCTGCCCTTTGTTGTTTTGCTTCATGTTTAGTTTCAACTTCTTTTCAAACTAGATCTTAATAACTTGGTTTTTCCTCTTTTAGTATATTTCATATACGATGCATTAACTCTCTGGACAACAACATTATGGACTGTTTGCCCCTGCTGTGCTATCTACGCTCTGCAGTTTATCCTGCATAACTGGAAAACAAAATTAACTCCTCATTTAAAAATAATAAAAAAAAAAAAAGAAAATCCTTTTTACAAACGTGCAAGACAGTTGAAGAGGACAGTGAAGATTCAAATGTGAGTTATGAGTGAGTGAGTTAATGCTTTTTAGAAATGTGAGGCACTCCCTGTCTATGCAGGGGTGAGCTGCAACTGAGCAGGCTTCTCCCTCAGGTGAGTTTCAGCCAGGAGAGAGAATGTGTTAAGATGCTGTAACGCTGTAGTCTGAGCGTTCCTGCTCGTGCAGCTAGGTGTTGAGTTTGTTGGGTGATTGGTTCATTCTCGGCTGATTGAATGTCTGATTACATGACTGATTGATCAGTGGCTCGTTCGTGGGGGATGGGGCTTGCTCATTGTCACTTAATATATCAAATGTAATGTATTGAATTCTATATCTTAGAGCCTAATTTGTATGAATGGTTTGTATTGTACATAGTTTATCCCAATTGCGCTGCTTCTGTACATGCCCCCCATGAGCTGTGTATTTACCCCTCACCCGCTAAACCCTCTTGTTCACTCCATTTATGCTTGTTCTTGATTCCTCTAACAAAGAAAATGATGTTGCTGCCCTAGATGTGAATTTCATGAAAACAGCAATCCTGTAGAGGACTGACTAAATATATTAAAAGTATTAATTGAAAGTTTCTTTATTGGGGGGGAAGGTAGGGGTTGGAGATGTACATATTAATTAAAGAACACAGTAAATTTTATCAATTGAATGTTGGTATGTGTGAGTTCTTAATGTGACTCCGAGTGATTATTTGTTGACGTCTGGTTATATATCACTACACCAGGCTCGCATGTTTGGTAATACACTCATTCATACCCAGTTCCCAAAAGCCATGACAGGAAAATTAGGGAGCACAAAGAAAATTAACTTGTTGTAGATGGTTGTTGTTTATTATTTTTTATATTTTTATATTTCTTTCAGATTTCTTGAATTCTTCTGACGTTTGTTTGCCACTGTGGGTATAAAAATAAACTCAAATATAATCCAAATTAGCCTTCCAGGAGTTGAAATACAAACACTTCTGGTTTAAACAGTTATTTTGTACTTGAAATTGTACTTGAAAATGTCAGAAATGGATTCAGCATCCTAATCCCCAGCACCACTCCAATGTTGTCCAAATCGGCCAAGCAATTGGTGAAATACTGTTAATTTCCCAACATATGCAAGTTAAATATGCAAGTTATATACTGGAGACCTATACTGTACATTTTCATCATAAAACGTTTGGGTACTAACATTTCCGGACTGGGCTGTGTAAAATTCAAGTCTAATGCCATTTGCACTGTAAAGTGACAAGCACCTTTAAAACACTGAGAAACCTTACAACCTTACAATCCTCCCCTCCATACACTTACAGATTTGGGTTTTATTTCCATTGTTTTAGCCATCATTTCTACTAGTTATGACAGAATCTTGTCATAATAAACACCATTGTTCGAGAAAACAACACCAAAGTGTCCTCTTGGATGCCACTATGGTAGATAAAATATGGTAAAGTGCCCTCTAGGTTGCTAATCCTAACTGTAATGGTAAATTCTGTTTCTTTGTTTTAGCCACTACATATGCCCACCCAAAACCTCCCCCTTTACTAAACACAAGATGCCAGGTCTTTTGTGTTTTGTAGATTGATGTCGAACTTGGCTTTGCCACCTGAATGCCAGGATCCTGCAGACCGCTCATATTTTAAAACACACCAGCAGGGGTCGGCCCCGATGCCTGCAATGGGCAGAGGGGGTGTGGAAAGGCCATTCCTGGGAGGGCCAGGACCCCTACCAGCAGACAAAAGGGGGTGTTTGAAAGAGGTGGTCCTCAGGTTTAAATGTTTAGATCTCCCATGTTCAGGGTCTTTCTTCCATCTTTTGACCGCTCCGTGTGTTGATTTGACCTTTTCTTTGGCAAAGAAAATAAAACCTTGGTCGGCCGGCAGAAGTTTCTCTATTTCATTCTTCACCAGCAGCAGAGAAAATTGCCACAACATAACCCTGACTAAGCTGTTTCACAATAAACCTATCACAACTTCTTGAGCACGTGTGCCAGAGCTATGAAAATAAACAAAATACCAAAGACATTTCCGCATTGAGGTCTTATACCAACAGTTCTGGATTCAGTCAGTATCAAATCATCACACTAAACAAAAGCAAGAGCTGCAAACAAATGCTACGAACACTCACTGTGCAACAGTGACGAGAGTTTTGTAAAAAGACAACAAGGAATGAACTATTCTGGATCTGCAACCCAGCAGCATCGAATAAACTATTATTCTGTAATTCTGTACCACTATCAGTGTTTGACAGTTTCCCAGACTCAGTGACAATTTAGACACAATTTGTTCAGTATTCAAATATAGGGCTGGGTATTTATCCATGTTAAACAGTCTGTCCTACATTTTAAATTTGAATACACATTATTTACCCTAAAAAAAATAACTCTTTGAATGAACTTGGAACTGGAAAGTATTAAGCAATTATGTTGGTCCAACTTAATTTACTTAAGTTGAGTCAACCTAATTTAGTAAGGTTGATTCAACTTACTAATAGGGCTGTGTATTGGCAAGAATCTGGCAATACGGTATGTATCAGTATGTTGCTATATATTGCAATACTCAAGCAACATTGCAATTTCCACCATATGTATACAATCGGAGCTTAAAAAAGTTTACTTTATGCAGTGAGATCTGCATTTGTATTTCTCACAGTTCCTGTAACATCCAACATCATACCCCTCAGTTTACAAATTAAGTAAAATCAAACAAGTAAGAGTGTAACTTACATGAAGAAGTACAACAACAAACATTCACTGGGCGTGAAACACGTCAGAATCATGTCATGTCTTTGAGTCATGTCCAGCAAACATAAAGCAATTATTTAATGGACATAAACACAACAGATTAATTTATTACTAACATAATTCTAATTTGCTGATCAAACACTGGTTGTTGTTTTTTTTCTTTTTAGTGTTGATAATCTTCCTCATTTTGCATTATATGGCAATGCTTTTCAAATGTTGTTCAACTGTGCAATATACTGGTTAAATCATTACATATCTTCACCGGTTATTTATTTCACCACAATACAGAATTTTGTTTTGGCACTGAGGAAATGACTAATTAGGTACTTGGTATGTGTGTTATGACAAATTGTGAGGCCTCCAAATTTCTCATGTGTATAGTGTACAAACTATGTAAACAGTCTGTGGAAAGCGTCACATTGCTTTCACAGCAAAAGGGACCCAGAACACATAAGCTCCATGCCTGGCTATAATTACTTCTTGAATCTTCTTCTGATTTCGCACCATGTGTGATCGAGCAGATTTCCAAATAATGGAGCATGCCAGAAAGTTGGACACACAGAGGTGAACTTGTATTCCAGTCCCTGGGAGATGTGGAGATTGGGATGTGAGACTGATAGCGTCTGTTCTGGGACTTCACAGTGGCACCTGCCATTGAATCCTCCGACTCGGCAGTTAGGATCAGCAGTCGGCTTTAAACAGATTAGGGGCTCTAGGGGAGGGAAATCCGCTGCCTTTAGCTGGCTCACAACTTATCAGTAATTAAAGTGGATGCCAGGTTTGTGTGTTCATTGGCGGTCCGCAGAGTGCTTTTATAGCTGTCCTCATTAAGGAGCTGCCTCCAAAAGTTTGCCCTCAATGCTCACTTTTAACAAGCCAGTTGGGATTTCATAGTATATGGCTAAATACCATCAGTGTAGACACAAACGCATAGCAAAATAATTCCTGTTAATTCTGTATGTAATGGACATGAAGAAATTTTTTTTGTAAACTGTACAGCAATGCCATGGAGGAAATGATCTGATTTGATTTCTATGCAGACCCATTAGGGATTGTTATATTTCACATGTTGAGAAATGATGTACAACTAAATAGTAAATAGGTAGAACAGTTGAAGGAAAGACAACATTGGGGACTATGAGTGAAGTAAAAAATATAATGTATAGACTGGCTGATACAGACTTTAGAATGGTTACAGATGAAAAGTATGATAATGAAAAACTAATGAAGCCTTTTTATTAAACTAGATGTGACCCTACAGACACAAAAACACACTCAAAATAGAAATTGATTAATTCATTTGTGCCAAAAACATGAAATGTTACTACATATTTACAAAATTTTGTCTCCGGAATAGTTTGGTTGCAACCTCTATTTTATTTTGTTCATGTTGACTTATTCTGTATTGAATTAGTTTAGTCTGTTGTTTCTTTGTGTTTTCTTTTTTTATTTATTTCATATATTTATTTCTCAGGTTTCATCTACCCATTTGCCAACATGCTTTTAGTTTGTCTTGTGCAAGGGTGGGATCATGAGAACAAGAGGTGATGCTGTGAGCTTGTCACATAATCATAGGACTTTTTGTTTTTTCATTAGTTTTTTCCCTCATTTCTGTCTATTTTTCTTTTCAATATATACATCGGTTATGGTAATGGTGAATGGACCTGTACTTTCTCTAGTCTTCCGACCACACGCTCTTTACCACTACGTGCCACACTTCCCCCTGTTTCATCACACATTCACTCAGTGATGTCAAACTCACATCGACAAGAAACTAACCTCATTCATGACACATGTCACACAATTCGGGGGTTCAGTATGTTGCTCAAGAATACTTCGACATTGTGGAGACGGGGGTCGAACCAACAACTTTCCTTATTTTAGTGGACAACCTGTTCTTTCTCTGACCCACAACACCCAGATTCCTTCTTATCTGCTATTAGATATCAAGTTGTTAGTGTCACTTCTCTTAGGGCCATTGGTTCTACACAGTTACAAACTGGCCCACCTTTGGGCCCAATCTGCCTGACTGGACAGTTTCTGCCCCCTCTACAATGGCCACTGGCTCTCTGGGCCTGGTGCCAAAAAGATATTTTTATTTCAACAAAAATAAACAAGGAAAGCTAGTGGTTGTACCGTAAATGGTGGCAGTTAGATATTGCATTCACCAACCCTAGCAGCGATTGGGAAAAACTAAAAAACAAAGTATATCAGGAGCTACAGCTTTCCACATTAAAGTTTTGATTAAGAGGGTATTTACTGAAATCTTTTAAAACACTCAGTATGAACTGCGCATTGGGTCTACACCTGGGTCAACTGGTGGATAACCTAGATCAGGCCTGGTATGTTATTTAATAAATATACAATACAAGGTCGTTATTAGATGATATTGAAAGGTTGTGCAGTTCCCTTCAGCTATGATACAATAAAAAGATAATAGAATTAACATAGAGAAATGTTAAAATAACAGTTAAAAAATAAATCAACATATACAGATCTTGCTATCATACACTATATACTTAAAGTATACAGACCCAGGAAATATTCTGCAGGTCATCTTTTGAATTTGTGTCTTAGTTAAATGTAAAACAGCCAGCAACAGAAGATTAGTGAGATAGACGAAAAAGAAACTGAGACAGCAATAATGCAAGCGTCTCAAGACTTCGAGCGTCCAACCCAAAGTGTCTTTATATCTTTCTTTGACTCCGATGGTTGTTTTTGTCCAGGCGGTGGATTCTTTGAAATGCCATTCACGGGCCCAATCTAAAGAAGCCCAAGAGGAACCTATTTTTTTTTTAAAGACTACATCTGTTCATGTGTACATATTACTGTTCACGTCAATATTGAAAAAAAGGGTTAACGAATAATATATACTACATTTAGCTCCCTTA